AAGAGTAGAGAACATAGAAAATAGGAGTCAGAGTAGTTAATTCTGCCTAGTGAGCCTCAAAAAGGTCAAAGCTGATCTATTTAGGCTTCAATTCCATATCCCCAGTTGGCCTTGATAATGCTTTTCTTAAATTTCTGTGGGCTTTGCTGAGCCGAGTTGCCATTGAGAAGATGGTAGTGATCTGCCTTTGTGAACCACTACAGTCCATGAGGTGGACCCACAATGCTGTTAGGGAGGGAATTCAGGATTTTGGCCCAGTAACTCTCAAGGAATAGCGATACTTTTCCAAGTCAGGATGGAGAGTGGCGTGGAGGAAATTCATGCCCAACAGAGTCACAGAGATCTCACAGACAAAGGTTCTACTGACTGTCTGATCTTGTCACTATCTTCCAAGTACTCTGTTATCCCAACTTTTACAGTGGACCCTAACACTTTTTCCCACCATCAATGCTTTGAAAATGCCCTATTTTCACTCTGATTCCCTTCTTAAATACTTGGGCAACGTTAAGTACCCTCCAATCCACAGAAACTCGGAGAATCAATAGAATTTGATGATAACCACTAGCGCATTTGCCAATTCTAGGGCTACTTCCCAAGTTACTCTGAGACAAAGGTTATCAATCTCTAGGGATTTATCTGCCAGTTGTCCCATGAGCTTTCCCAATATCATTTTCCTACTAATAATAATTTCTTTCAATTCTACCTTCCCATTAGACCCTGGGAATCCCTTAATTTTGGGTCACTATTTGTGTCCTCTTTTTTGAAAATCTAAGACATACGTAATTGGTCTGCCATCATTTTGTACACCATTATAATTTTCATGTTTCTGATTGTAAGGAGACCCTAATTTCTTCTTGACTAATCTTTTGCTATCAATGTTCAATTAAGAGTTTAATGATGATCAGGAAACTGTTTTTGATTGTCAGGAAAAACCCATCTGGCTCACTAATATCCTTCAGGGGAAGAAACTGTCATCCTTACTCGGTTTGGCCTATAAGTGACTCCAGTCCCACAGCAATCCAGTTGACTCTTGACAGCCCTTTCGGCAATCAGGGATGGGCAATAAATTCTGGCCTAGCCAATGATGCCCACATCCTGTGAATGAATAAAGAAAAATGCTATTGGTTTGTATAGTCCCTGCAAGAGCACTCTCATATTCTATTTTCTCCCTTTTATTAAATCCCTTTGTCTCCCTTTGCTGAAATCTAAACTTTTCTCAATCCTCAGGTCTGTTATTTTGTTTATCTAATTTGAATGCTGTTTTCTTAAATTTAATACCCATTCATTTCCCTTTCTCTGCCATGGTTTGACCATGTTTCCCATTTTGTTCTTATACCAGACTGAGATGAATAACTTTCATAGCTTGTCCACTTCCTCTTTAAATGTTTGCCATTATCCATCTCCCATCATCCATTGAAATACTGATCCACAATTTATCACAAGTAGCTCATGCGTCATACCATTATAACTTCTTTCATTTATTTACCGGAACCAAGAGTCAGAAACAACAATATAACTCTCCATCTTTATGAAGAATTCAATCTATTGTGGTCACTTTTCCTTAAGGGCCCACACTCAACTTGATTATCAGTTATTCCCTCCTCATTGCCCAACACCCATTTGCTTGTTCACCAAGGAGGGCCCTGTAAAGATGAAAGAGGTCATGTTTGTATTGACCTTCAGGAGATGAGGGAGACATCAAGGAATATTTTGTATCAGTTATAACTGTGGAGAAAGAAATGGAGGCTAGAGATCTCAGGGAAAGAAATATTGTATTTTGAAAACAAGTTCACAGGAGCCACAGAAGACTGGGGGGATTTTTAATGAATATCCCTCCTCAATGTTTACTGAGGAGAGATTCATGAATGCTGAGGAAATAAGCGAAACACAAGTGCAGATGGTTTGGACTGCCTTAAAACGCACTAAGGTGGATAAATCCCTTGGGCCTGATCAAATCCATCCTTGGACATTGCGGGAGGCGAGGGAGAAAATTGCAGAAGTCCTTGCAGAGATTTTTGCTTCATCTTGCGCCACTGGTGAAGTTCTGGAAGACTGAAGGGTGGCTAACGTTGTTCCATTGTTTACGAAAGGTAGCAAAGACAAGCCAGGGAACTACAGGCCAGTGAGCCTGACAGCGGTGGTAGGCAAGTTATCGGAGAGGATACTGAGGGACAGGATCAACCAACATTTGGATAGCCAAGGTCTGATTAGGGATAGTCAGTATGGATTTATGCATGGGAAGTCATGTCTGACAATTTTTTTTACAGTTTTTCTAAGAGGTAACCAAGACCATAGAGGAGGGTAGGGCAGTGGGTGTTGTCTATGTGGACTTTAGTACACCTTTGACAAGGTTCCGCACGGCAGGCTAGTCATGGGATCCAGGGATAGCTAGCTAATTTGATTCAAAATTGGCTCAATGGTAGGAAATAGAGGGTGATGGTTGAAGGCTGTTTCTCAGACTGGAGGCCTGTGACTAGTGGTGTGCCCGAGGAGTCAGTGCTGGGACCTTTGTTATTTGTTATTTACGTAAATGATCTGGATGTGAATATACAAGGCATGATCACTAAATTTGTGGGTGATATAAAATTAGAAGGTAGTGTTGATAGCAAGGGAGGCTATTAAAATTTACAGAGAGATCTTGATCAGAAGTGGGCTGAGGATTGGCAAATGCAATTCAATATAGTTAAGGTAGGTATTATACAGTAAATGGTAAGGTCCTGAGGATTGTTGTGAAACAGACGGACCCAGGAGTACTAGTACATAGTTCATGGAAAGCAGTGTCACAGGAAGATAAGGGTGGTGAAGAAGGCATTTAACATGTTTAGGATGTTGCCAGGTCCGAGTTGTGGGGACAAGTTAGTCAGGATAGGACTTTATTCCTTGGAACATAGGAGAATGAGGGGGTGATCTTATTGAGGTGTATAAAATCATGAGGGGCATAGATAGGATGAATGCATGTAGTCTTTTTACCAGGGATGGGGAATTAAAAACTCAAGGTCATAGGTTTAAGGTGAGAGGGGAAAGATTTAAGAAGGACCTGAGGGGCAACTTCTTCATGCAGAAAGTGGTGCATATATGGAATGGGCTGCCAGAGAAAGTGGTTGAGGCAGGTTCAATAGCAATATTTAAAAAATAATTGAATAGGTATATGGATGACAAGGGTTTAGAGGGACATGGACCAAATCCAGCAATTGGAACTAGCTGAGTGGGCACCATGGACCAGCTTGGGCCAAAGGGCCTGTTTCCCCACTGTATTACTCTATGACTCTAAATCTTACGACCTGCTCTAGTGCATCCCATCATGTGGAAAGTTAAGAGAGAAAATGTGGGGTCGCTTGCAGAAATAATCTATCATCTATAACTACAGGTGAGGTGCCAGATGATTGCAGAGCGGCTCATGTTGTGCCTTCTTTTGAAGGATGCAAGAAGCCTGGGAACTCCTGTTCTGAGAGTCTGACTTTGGTGGTGGATAACTTGTTGGAGGTGATCCTGAACGATAGCATTTGGAGAGGCAAGGAATGATTATGGATAATCAGCATGGCTGTCTGCGAGAGAAATCGTGTCTCACAAATTTGATTGAGATTTTTGATGAAGTAACCAAGATGATTGATGAGGGCAGAGCAGTAAACATTGTTTATTTGGACTATAGTAAAGCCTTTGACAAGGTTCCAAGTGGTGGACTAATTAGTAAAACTAGCTTACACGGGATCCAGGTTGAGCTTGCCAATTGGATACAAAATTTGCTTAACGTCAGGAGACAGGCTGTGGAAGTGGAGGAAGTTCTGAGGAAGGGTCACCGGACCTGAAACGTTAACTCTGTTTTCTCCTCCACAGATGCTGCCAGACCTGCTGAGCTTTTCCAGCAACTTTGTTTTTATTGTGGAAGTGAGAGTTGTTTTTCGGATTGAAGGCCTGGTGTTCAGCGATGACCAGTGTGTTCCGCAGGGATCGATGTTGGGTTCACTTTTGTTTGACATTTATATGGATGACTCAGATGAGAATACAGAAGGCATGGTTAGTAACTTTGCGGATGACTCCAAAATTATTGCAAGAGTGGACAGTGAAAAAGATTAAGATTTCAAAGAGATCTTGATCATTTGGGTCGATGTGCTGAGGGCTGGCAGATGGAGTTTAATTTGAATAAATGCGAGGTACTGCATAGTGGTAAAACAAACAAGGGAGGCAGGACTTCAGAGAAAATCATAAAATCATAGAATCCCTACAGTGTGGAAACAGGCCCTTTGGCCCAACAAGTCCACACCAACCCTCAGAGCATCCCACCCAGAACCATACCCTATAATCCACCTAATCTACACATCCCGGAACATCATGCACAATTTAGCATGACCAATCTACCCACTCTGCAAATCTTTGGACTGTGGGAGGAAACTGGAGCACCCAGAGGAAATCCACTTACAAATTAAAATAGGGTGTTGGGTATTGTAGAACAGAGAGACTCAGGTTTCAGTTACCTAATTCTTCTAAATTTGCATCACATATAGACAGGGTGGTTGAGAAGGTGTTTAGTACGCTTACCTTCATTGCTCAGACCGTTGTGTACAGAAGTTGGGACGTCATGTTGAGGTTGTACAGGACGTTGGTGAGGCCTCTTCTGAAGTCCAGTTCTGGTCTACCTGTTATAGCAAGGATATTATTAAGCTGGACAGAGTTCAGAAGAGACTTACCAGGACGTTGCTGAGAACAGAGGGATTGAGTCATAATGGGGACTGGGACTCCTTTCACAGGGGTGTAGTACATTGAGGTTGACCTGAAAATGGTTTGTGAAATCCTGAGGGGGTAACAAAAAGTTGATGGGCAGGTGCCCTTTCTCTGGGGTGGGGATTTCAAGACCGGGGGGACATATTTTTAATCAACTGGATGAGTTTTATTGTCGCATATACTCACATGAATACAGTGAAAAGTTTACAAATTGCCACTTATGGCACCATGTTAGGTACAAAGGTACCCAAGTACAAAACTACCCAGGGCCCTGCCATGAACTGTTTAAGTCCTGTCCTTGAGGAGTACAGATAAGGTGAATAGCAAGTGTCTTTGTCCTAGGGTGGGGGAATTTCAAGACCAGGGTCATATTTTTAAGGTGAGAGGTGAAAGATTGAGAAAAAGCATAAGGAGCAACCATTTTCTTTCCCCCCCAGAGTGTGGTTCGTGCATGGAATGAACTTCCAGAGGAAATGGTGGATACAGGTAGAGTTTCCAATATTTAAAAGACGTTTAGATAATACATAAATAAGAAATGTTCGGAGAGACATGGGCCACGTGCAGGCAGATGGGACTACATTAGTTTTGGAACATGGTCAGCATAGACTGGTTGGACCGACGGGTCTGCTTCTGTGCTGTCAGACTCTATGATGCTACGTGATTGAAACTTACAGAATACTGAAAGGCCTGGATAGTTAGACATGGAGATGTTTCAACTTGTAGGAGACACTAGAACCTGAGGGCACAGCTTCTCAGTGAAGAGATGACCCTTTAGAATGGAAATGAGGAGGAAATTCTTGAGCCCGAGGGTGGTGATTCTGTGGAACTCATTGTCATAGAAGGCTGTAGAGGCCAAGTCATTGAGTGTATTTATAACATAGACGGACAGACGGACAGACGGACAGACAATTATCTTGATTGATAAGGGCATCAACGGTTGTGGGAGAAGGCAGGAGAATGGGGTTGAGAAACATATCAGTCACAGTCAAATTGTGGAGCAATCTTAATGAGCCAAATAGCCTAATTCTGCTCCTATATCTTGTGCTCATGGTTATTATGGGTGACTTCAATCTGCACATAGGTTGAGCAAATCAAATCAGTAACAATAACAGAGAGGAGAAATTCCTGGAGTGTACATGAGACGGTTTTCTACATCTATATATTGAGTGATCAAAGAGAGGACAGGCCATCCTCAATGGTGTATTGTGTAATGGTGAGGGGTGAGTTAACTCAGTTGGCTGAACAGCTGGTTTGTGATGCAGATTGACTCCAGCAGCATGTGCTCAATTCCTGTAACAGCTGAGGTCACCATGAAGGTCCCACCATCTTAACCTTGCCCATTGCCCGAGGTGTGGTAAACCTGAGGTTAAACCACCATTTGTCATCTCTCTCTCTGAAGTGAGAGAACAGTCCTACAGTCTTCAGAAACTATGGTAACTTTATTACACAATTAAAATTTTGAAATCAGAGTGGATTAATTGGCAATCTAGCTGTGAAAGGCCTCATGTGGAAAAGTGAAGACCTCTTCATGATAGAGCTCTTCATTAGGATGGAGAGTGACAGAGTTGATTTTGAGACTCGGAGTGAAAATCTAAATGGAGGAAATTACAATGGTATGAGGTGCACGCAGGCATTCTCGATTTTAACTGTCCCACATTTGGTGCCCTCAACCTTTAGCTGCCAAGGTGACAAACTGTGAAATGTCCTTATTAAACCTCTCTCTCTCTACATCAGTTTCGCACCCTAAAATACTGGTTGAAAACAACTTATTTGACCATAAAACATTTTGTCACCACCTTAACATCACATTGTGTGTCTAGGGTCAGAAGCTGCATTATAACACTACCAAGGAACAGTTTGGAAGTTTACATTATGTGAAGGGTACTATATTGATACAAATTAATTGCCATTGATTTGGATACACATCACAGTTCCTTCATCATCACTTGGGGAATAACTCCTTTCCTAAAGAGCATTGTGGGAGCTACTAAGGAAAGGTAATCGCCAGCAACAAATGGTCAGGCAATGTTCAGCTGTAAAAAACCTCTTTTAGAGTCAATGGAAGTAACAATACAATACCTAAGACAGTTACGTCCATTACTGAATACAGAGCAGGTTAGAAAATGACAGAGTTGATCAGGGAGAACAGAGACAAACCAGAACAATGGATGGTCACAATGGACGGTGTCATAAAGCAGCTTTTGACACCAGCCACACAGCAAGGGGGTGACAAAATGAGTCACATTAGCTCCAGAGTCAGATAACTGAAAACAGCAGGAGAAGCTTAATGGTGTAGATTACTGGTTTAAAATATGGAAATAATTTCATTGTGTTCAACTTTAAAATCAAATGCCAGAGTCTGCAGCTCAAAAGATATCAGAAGCTCTGAGGTCAGAGTAAACTCACTGTTCAGGAAATACCCAGGAATCAGGGTGATGTCAGTGAGCAATTGCTTGTGTGTGATATCATCACCCACTTGTACACAGAGCATTTGGGCCTGCACAAACAGATGATCTCCATTAAGAATATGAGGGTCTGAGGAAAGACTTGAAAGGAGATGAATCAGGATGGCTCAACAACCAAGGGATATTAGTTGTAAGGTCAGGTTGGAAAAACCGAAGTTGTTCTGCACACAGCAAAGGAGATTGAGATGAGATTTGATAAAGTGTCTAGGTTTAAATAAGGCAGATAAATGCAGCTGATCTTCTTCACTGTTAGTAAAACTATGAAAGACACAGATTTAAGATATTGGGCAATAGTTAGTGGGAGATAGAAGGAAGGAACTTTATGTTACTTTTATCTTACTCAATACTTACATGCAAAGGCCAATAATATCCAGTACCGAATGAATAAAGTGGCTGACTTAGATCTTGGTGTATCATATTTGGTTTGAGTTTCCTATCTGCAAGTCCTCTTCCAACATACTGTAAAAAAAATTTACAGTCAATCCAGGACAAAATTTCAGAAGAAGCAAATATTTCTTTGCTTTCGAGTTTGCTGTGTGTAAATCCTCCCCTCCTCACTCCCTGTGAAAGGAGTTTATAAACTCCATCCCTGGCAGTCCAGGAGCGACATTCACAACATTCTCTCTCCTGGCCCAGGGTGACCGCACATGCGCTTTGCTGCCCTTTGCCTCCTACAAAGATGGCGGCAGTTACCCGCGGCCTGTCATGGAGACGGAGCCTCAATTGTTCCGTTTTCTGTAACGGGGACAAACAATTTTTTTATGCGGGGTCTGTCGAATCCACGAAGTGCTTAGAAAGCCTCCCCGTCTAACCGCCCGGTCTATCGCCTCCTCCATTCTGCCTCATTGTTACCTTTTGTGGAGCCGAGGAAGACGACGACTGCTTCTCGGGGTCGCTCCCTCTGCGCATGCTCTGGACTGTTGGCACGCGGGAACATACTGAGCCGACGCAGTGATCAGCAATGCCGTGCATGGCCCTCGGAATTCTGGGTTAAATACCCACCATTGTGAAGATTGAATTTTATTTGTGGTAATGTGTACAAGCAAGCTTTCTCTTTACTTCCTGCCAGGATAACTGACATATATAATAGAATAGAGTATAAAACGTGCCTTTTGCAAACTCTGACACTGGGTCACAGGGCTGCTTTCTTATTAGAGAGACAAAACTGGTGGTGGTTTAACCAGAGGGACACCACATCTCATGTCAGCAGAGAGGTTGAAAGTCGAGAGTCATTAGTGGTAACCTCAGACGGTGTGGGATTTCATTCTACACTGTTGACGTCATGAGGAAAACTGGCAAACGGCTCTGAGAAAGAGTTTGGCTTTCATAGCTGTCTTCAAAGAGGAAAATGTAGATTTCATATTGTAGCAAACAGCAATGCTTCCTGTCGTTTGTTGAAGAAAGTGTTTTTGTTCCACTGATGCCCTCAAA